CACCTGGGAGTTGGTCGGAGCTTCCTGCGCTCATATTGCTCAACGTGGCTTCCAAGATCCCCCTGGAGGGGGACATGCCCGACCTGCCCGCAGTGGCCTCGTACCCGGGACCTCTCGGCGCGAGCCCGGCGGCCTCCGCCGGCGGCCTCCGAGGCTTGCAAACGGCCTGGAACCGACGAATACGCCACACGACCCCGTACCCTCGAACCCTCGCAATCCTCCTCCCCCCTCCTCCTCCTCCTCCTCCCGCCTCCTCCTCTCTCCTCCTCCTCCTCCTCCTCCTCCTCCTCCTCCTCCTCCTCCTCCTCCTCCTCCTCGAACCCCCCTCCTGGCCGCCCTGGAGCTCCGCCGGGCGGCCTCCGCCGCGCGGCGCCGCGCGCGCGGCCGCGCGCGCCGCGCTGCGCGCAATGCTCGCGCGGCGCCGCCCGCGCCGCGGAGCCGCGGCGGCGGCGGCGCGCTCGCCGGCGGCCCGCGGCGCGGCCGCGGCGGCCGGCGGGCACGGGGCGCTGAGCGCCGGGGCCCCCGAAGCGTGCGGGGGGGCTTGGGATTCCTCGAGCAGGGGCGAGGCGTACTGGCTCGCCGATATCTATATCTATATATATATATATATATACACATATCGATATATATATATATATATATATATATATATCGATATGTATATATTTATATATACATACATACATATTTCAGGAGGGGAAAAACACACAGACACAATGAATCGTCCACTCCCAGGAAAATAGGGGAAAATAGGGGAAGTGGGGGGGAAGACAAAAACCCAGGAAAGATGGGAAAAGATGGGGGATCTTTTTAATTGTGTGTATTTATGTGTGTGTGCCCCAGGGCCCCTTTAGTCGGGGGCGGCAGAGAGGGGGGGGGGGGGGATGACCAGGGGGGGCGGATCTCCTGGCGTGGGCCATGACGTTTCCCGAGACTTCATGTGGCGCCTCTTCTCAGTTCATTGCGTCCCCGGCCCCCCCCCCCGCTGGGCCGCGCACATGCCGCCGGTCATTATTTGCACCCCCCCCTCTTGGAGACCCCCCTCTCGTTCTCCCCTGGCCCTTCTCCCCGGCTGGGATTCTCAAGGCCTCGGTCGGCAATTTTGGACGCCCGAAGTGGGTACCGGAGAAAATGTGCAATGCCCAACAACACATGTTGTCCCAAACCAAGAGCGGTCGCTGTTGGGCAGGCGGCCTTCTGTCTCAAGTGGACACGGGCCGCGGCGGCGCGGACAGCGAGTCCGGTTCAGAATGAACAGAACCTGCTGCTGGGCATTGTACAGTCGGCCCGGATTAGTAGGTCGACCCTGCCAGCTTTAGTGTACCCTTGTGTCCTGTGCCTCGCGACACGTTCCTTCTTGCACTCCAATGGCGATGTGGCCCTCGGAAGGGTCTTGTGTTCTCTCGCGTGTCCTCTCCAATCAAGTCCGACTGTACAGTCAACCCGCATAGTGAGGATGATCGACTTCCCAAGGGGACCCTTGCATCCTTCCCCTTCGGCCCATCCTTGGCCGCGTTCGCTGGCCGCGCCCCGCTCGACGCGTGTCGGCATGGCCTGCCAAGGTCCTTGCATCCTTATCGTGCGTCCTTATTCTACGGGTTGACTGTACCCATTCTTTCCGTACCTACTTCGTTCGTGCCGAGCAAGTGTCAGGAGGGAAAAACACACACACAGACACAGTTCATACTCGATTCCCCAGAAGATCTGGGAAACCATGGGAAGTGGGGGGGGAAGACGAAAACCCAGAAAAGATATGGGAAACTATGGGGAATAGTTTTATTTGTGTGTACTCCAGATTTCGTAATAAATGGAGGGGGGTCTCATTTCGGGGGGGGGTCTCTTCCAGGCTATCTTGGAGGGCCTGGGGGATCTGGGGACGATGTTTTGGAGGGTTCTCCCACGGGGGAGGTCTAAAACTTCTCGTCTGGGAGGGTTGAGAACCCCTCCCTTTTATTACGAAATCTGGAGTATTTGTGTGTATTTATTTTTTGTGTCCTGGGGCCCTTTTAGAGTGCCCCGGCCCCGGCCTCGGGGGCCCCGGGGAGCGTGGCCTGGCGCACGGGCGGCGCTGCCGCCGCGGGCCCGCGGCCGGGGCCGCCGCCCGCGGCGGCGGCAGAGGGCGCGGAGTTCCCCGAAGGGCGGATCGGCACGCACGGAATGGGTACTGAAAGAATGGGTACCATGCCCAACAGCGGATCTTGTTCATTTTGAACAGGACTCGCTGTCCGCGCCGCCGCGGCCTGTGTCCATTCGAGACAGAAGGCCGCCTGCCCAACAGCGGCCGCTGTTGGATTGGGACAACATTTGCTGTTGGGCATCGTACCCATTGTTTCGGTACCCATTTCGGGTGTCCAAAACGGAGCACGGAGTTCTCGCAGGCCTAGAGATTGACACCAGCACAAAATTTCGGTGGTTTGCCTCCACCGAGGGAAGGAGATCCCGATCTCGGCGATGGTGGGAATATTCTAGCTTCCAAGGTGGCCGAACTATTACCACCAGCGCCGAAAATCTAGGATCACCTTCCCCCTGTGGAGGCAACCCCCTGTCTTGGTGTTGGTGCCAATTTCCAGGCCTCCGAAGTTCCCCGAAGGTCAACGTTCGGAGGTCCGCCGGGATTTCGGGGGTCGGCCGTGGACCTCCCCGGCGGCGCCTCTCGGGGCCGGAGCTCCCTCACGTCGGGCCTGTCCCCCTACAGGGGGATGTTCGACGAGACATTAAAAAATACCCCCAAACTGGCCCCAAAAATGGTCCGAGAAGAGCCTGGGGGCTATTTTTTTTTGTATCTTCTGACCTGTTTGGGGTAGGTTTGGGGTATTTTTTTTATTTTTCGTCGAAAATCCCCCTGTAGGGGGACACGCACGACGTAGGAGTGCCCCGAAGGTCGACGAATTCGGAGGTCCGCCGGGAGCTCGGGGGTCGGCCGCGGACCTCCCCGGCGGCGCCTCTCGGGCCGGGCGAAAGGGGGGGGGGATAGGGAAAGGGGGGGTTACTCGACTAGACGTAAGAGTTCGATGCTCGTTTCGGGGACCTTCCTGGAGCCCACCTAACGGATCTGTTCGACCCCAGCTCGACTCAAGTTCGACTCAAGTTCGGCTCAAGTTCGGCTCAGGTTCGACTCAGGTTCGACTCAGGGTCGACCCAACTCGACTGACGTTCGACGCAGCTTCGACGCACGAGTGGAGCGAATGGCTCCAGGAAGGTCCCCAGAACGACCATCCAGTAAGAGTGACCTTTCGCCGGAGTGACCTTTGGTGCGGGCACAGATGGGTCACCGTATGGCTGAAAACGAAGCAGTAGTTAGCAGGGGTCAATCTTGCGTATAGCCGATTTACGAAAATTGCTGCCTGCAACTGGTTTCGGCCCCACCGAGGGGCCCATTCCTCGATACATGGCCGCCTCCGGCGCCGGGAGGCGCCGGGAAAATCAGCTAAGTGAGCTGATTCTCAACCCCCCCTTTGCTGTACCCCCGGCGTCGAGCAGTGGCGAAGCGTCCTGGCTCGCCGAATTAGTCCCACTAAAAGAAAGGTCTAAGGACCTGATGTGGTGGTTCCCACGAGATGGTCTGAGATCATTTCTGGCCGGCATTGCTGTTTTAACACATCGGGCTAATGTTCTAAGTGTTCTTAGAACATCGCTGTGTTCTAAGAACAGTTCGTGGTAGGACTATATAGGAATACCGGGTCGGTCGGTCCCTGCGGCGCCTCCGGCGCCCCCCCCCCTGGCGCGTTTCGCGAGAGGGGGCGTGGGGGGTCCAGCGCCGACCCTGTGGGAAAAAACACACACCATGTGGAAAAAAAACACTGTGTGTGGGAACAAACACACACAACACACAGTGTGTGTGTGTGTGTGTTTGTTTCCCACAGTGTGTGTGTGTGTGTGTGTGTGTGTTTTGTCCCACGTGTGTGTTTTTGTTTGTCCCACGAGCTCCGCGCGGGCGTCGGAACGTCGACGCTTCTCTTGTGCTCTCCGTCCTTCCGGTTCCGGGCCTTCCCGGGGCTGAACCGCCCGGGCGCGCTGGAGCGACTGAGGTCCGCCAGGCCGGGGGGGCGGATGCACGCCGGCCACGAGTGGCTCTGCTCGGGGGCCTGGAGGTGGGAGCCGACGCCGCTGCACGCGAGTCGCCTCCGTCGACAGAAGATGGCTCAGGAGGGAAAGAAACACAGACACGATTGATTGGCGATTCCCCGGGAAGATATGCGAACATATGGGAAGTGGGGGGGAAGACAAAAACTGGAACTTCACGGCAGGAGGAGGAGGAGGAGGAGGAGGAGGAGGAGTTGGAGGAGGGGAGGAGGAGCAGGGAGGAGGAGGAGGAGGAGGAGGAGGAGGAGCAGGGAGGAGGAGGAGGAGGAGGAGGAGGAGGAGGAGGAAGATCTGGGGAATTCTGTTTATATTTGTGTGTATTTATTGGTGTGTTCTGGGGCCCCTTTAGTCGCCTCCGTCGACAGAAGACGACCTCGGGTCTCGGCGATGGTGGTATTCCCTACACTTAAACTTAAGTCGGGCCTGTCCCCCTACAGGGGGGATTTTCGAGGAAGAATAACAACTACCCCAAACATAAAAACATACTCCAGAAATAGTTTGGGGACTATATTGTGGAGTATTGTCTGACCCTTTTGGGGTATGTTTGAGGTATTTTTCATTTGTCGTCGGAGATCCCCCTGTAGGGGGACAGGCCCGACTTAACCCTACACCCAATTGGAAGACTGATGCAGCTGCGCTTCAGCTGCTGGACCCCCCCCCCCCGACCCCCGATCGCAATGTTTGTTGGTCGCGGCCGGCGGCGGAGAGAATCGGATCGCGCGGCGCCCCGCGTGAACGTTGAGATGGACGGGTGCCGCGCGACAGGGTGGTTGCATCACTCTCCCGAGAGCCTTCTTCCTCCTCCTCCTCCTCCTCCTCCTCCTCCTCCTCCTCCTCCTCCTCCTCCTCCTCCTCCTCCTCCTCCTCCTCCCCCTCCTCCTCCTCCTCCTCCTCCCCCTCCCCCGCGGGAGCCGCAGATGCATGGCGTCGGTGACGACCTCTGGGCCCTCCGTCGTCCCAGACAGCGGCACCGCCCTGGGCGCGCTGGCGCGCGGCCTGGCCGCGCGGCGGGCGGTGTCCCTGAAGGAGCGGGATGCAGCCACGCGCAGAGGGGGGGTGGGGGGAGGGGGGGGAGGGCTTCTTAGAAGCATCCCTGCTTCTCAGAAGGCGCGGGCCTTGTCTCTATAGATGTAGGGCCGGCGCCTTCTGAGAAGCAGCCTCCTTCTAAGAAGCAGCCTACCCCCCTCCCTCCACCCCCTTGTGCGCGCCGCCAGGGCATGAAGGCAAGGGGCCCCGAGGGGAACGGGCCCGCCATGCCTCCTCGAAGTGTCCAGCGCCAGTGTTTCTCCCGCGACGTGGCGGCGCCCCACGCCGGACCCCGGAATAATGCCGGGGCTCGCGCCGGAGTCGGCGGCTGCAGACACGCAGATCAGGCCCCGTGGGCCGCGCTTGGCGCGTCGATCCACATCCAAACACCCAGCGTTTGATTTCGAGGAGAGTTGGGCCTCCTGCTCCTCCTCCTTCTCCTCCTCGCTTTCCTCCTCCTGCTCCTCCTCCTCCTCGCCTTCCTCCTCCTCCTCCTCCTCCTTCTCCTCCTCGCCTTCCTCCTCATCCTCCTCCTCCTGCTCCTCCCCCTCCTTTCCTTCTCCTCCTCCTCCTCCTCCTCCACCTCCTCCTCCCCTCCTTCTTCCAGGACCCCGCCGTCCCCTCCATGCTGATCGTCGGGGGGGGACGAAGAGTACCGTTGGACCGAGGTATAAGATCGAGGTCGGTTCGGGGAGGGTACCCTCGTGTTCGTCGTGTTTGTGTGTGTGTGTGTTGGATTTACCCGCGGATGTTCCGTGCGCTTTGGCCAGCGGGGAGGGTCTCACGTTCTTGAAGGATGCTCTTCTGGCCTAGGTCCGACTGTATCAGTGACGCGCTGCAGTCGGGAGCCCGTCAGCGAGATGCTCCTTCGCTTCTGTCCGGAAGCCTGGCGTTCCTTCCGCAGTGGCATGCTGGTGGATTGCCCACGACGGCGTGTCATTGATATCGCTTTCGGTCTCCCGGAGTCGGCTGCGGCCCTCGGGGGAGAGTGCAAAGGGGCGTGCCTTCTCATAAGGCTCGGGAGCGCCCCGGCTTTCCGAGAAGTCTTCCCTAAGCCTTTCCCGACGGCGCGGACCACCTCTCGGGAGGCGCGTGGGCTTTTCTGGGAAGCCACACCGCCCTGCGAGAAGCCTGCTTCTTCCCACTTCCCCCCCCTCGCTCGCCGCCGACGGAAAAACTTCCAGCCTGGAACATATCCCTATCCCTATGCTGGGCATCTCCTCATCACGATGCCAATCTTAGGGATTCCTTTATTTTTTGAGGGCGCATCCCTAAGATTGTCGTCGCCTTTGGGCGTGTCAATCTTAGGGATAGGGATAAGTTCGAGGCTGGTTAACTTCCCCCCCTGGCTCGCCGCCGACGGAACAAAGGAGTTCCTCGAGGCCGCCGAGTTCTTCTGCAGGGTGCGGGAGCACGTCGCCCGCGGGCACCTCGTGGACCTCTTCTGCGGCCACGGGCTCGTCGGGGTGCTCTTCGCGCTGGCGGAGCCGCGGACGCGGAGCGTGCTGCTGCTGGACGTGCGCCGGCCCGCGAGCTTCGACGCCGTGCTGGGGGCGGCCGAGGATCGGCGCCACCCACACCTCCTCCTCCTCCTCCTCCTCCTCCTCCTCCTCCTCCTCCTCCTCCTCCGTAGCCATTTTGGCTCAAGATGTCGTTGGGGCGAGGGGTGGAGTTGGTCCAGGCTGCCCACACCCGGTCCCCACGGCACAAATTGAACCTCTCTTGCTACACTCTCGCGTTTTCTATCGGGCCTCTGGCCCTACTACTTTCATCTTCTGTGTGCAGCCCAGGACTGCCCTTCCCTGGGCCTGCTGCTCCCGCCCCGCACCCATGGCAGCCCGTGGCAGCGGACCCGAGGTGCACCACCTCGACGACGGCAGCTCGGCGTCGGAGGACTCCGTGGACGGCAGGCACCGTGCTTCGAAGTCCGCCCCTCGGCATGGCAGTGCGAGTGCAGAGCGGGCGCGTCGCAAGCGGCGCTCACGCAGGGAGGCTACGGCGGCCACCCTTGCGCAACTCGAAGCCATGCCCACATTCCCGTCGCAGGAGCCAATGGGTGATGCATCGCTGGCAGCGGCGTTTCACCTTGCGCCGACGCTGCCATCGCAGGAGGTTCGAGCAGGTGCCCGTGCTGCTGGTGAACTTCCTCCAACAGCTGGTGTTGCCGCCTTGGGGGCTAGCAGCAGTGCCGCCGCACCTGGCCCCGCCAGTGATGCCGCCGCCGCCTCCCAGCGAGGCCGTGCTGCAGGCCCCCCCAGCGGCGGTCCCAGGGACCCATGGCATGAGGGAGGTGGAGACCCTTGGGATGGACGCATACCTACGACCGATGAGTTTGATAAGAAAATGCAGGACCTCTTCAATACGCAGATTGATGCTGCTTCCACCAAGCTGCAGGCTGTCTGCAATGAGACGCTCAAGAAGGCCCAGGACGACTTCCAGTCGAGCATGCGGATGTGCTTCAAGCAGATTCTCGCCACCAGCGCGAGGGTCGACCAGCACAGCCACACCATCGCCGACATTCAGCGTCGACAGAACGCTCAAGAGCGCGAGCAGGACAGGATTCGTGACACGGTTGCACGCATGGAGAGGACGATCGCGTTGGCTGAGTCCCAGGCCTCCGCGTTCGACACGGCGAAGTTGGCTCAGTGGGAGAGGCAAGCGGAGCCGACCCTCTTCACGATCGGTGCACCGTCGGCCATCGCGCCGTTGGAGGTGCGCAGGGCCGTCCAGGCATGGGCCACCGAGTCGGGCCTCGCCATGGACCAGGTCGAGCTCGACGGGCAGGTTCCCTCGCGCAAGTTCTTCCTGCGCGCGATCGGCGGTGATGAGGTTGCCCGACCACGGGCGCTGGCGTTGGCACAAGGTCTCAGGACCTCGGCTGGCTGGCGCAACTTCGCGGCGCAGAACACCCAGGGAGCCCAGACCCCGATCTACATCAGTCCAGATAAGGCCCCTCGCCAAGTACGATTGGAGCTCCACACGAAGAAGGCGCAGCGCGTGCTGGCTGAGCGACACCCTCAGCTGGACATCTCGTGCCAGAGGACCAAGGGCGCGGTCATGGTGGACCGCGTCCCCGTCGTGGTCCTCGAGGTTGCTGGTGCTGATGATCCCACGAAGTTCATCTGGCATGGCCCCACGGTTGAGAAGTATACCATTGACAAGTCTGCCATCGTCGAGGCCTTCAAGCACCTGGCCAACTCGGTGGACACCACTGGCGATGGATGGAGTCTTTAGCAGCCGCTGGTGCCCATGGGAATGGGCACCTGTGCGACATGGAGGTCGCATCATTTCATGGAACGCTCGTGGGCTCGCTTGTCTCGACCATCGGCGTCGTCGTCGTAAATTTCAAAGACTGTTCCCGCACATGAAAGATCGCGCTGTCATCCTCATCCAAGAGACGCATGGCACGACTGAGTTGCTTCGTACGCTGCTCAATGCCACTCCCTTCGACTATCAGCTCTTTCACTCCAGCACTGGCCGCCCTGGCGCGGGTGCTGTTGCCATACTGGTTCCTCTACCTTCTCGGATGATTGCGCAATCGGTACCCTTCGAAGATCAACCAATTATCACTCCTGAAGTTCTTGCTGACGGGCGCGTTCAACTTGTCAGCGTCCTCAATCCCAAGACAAAGTTTGCAATGAAGATCATGAATGTCCACACTTATGAGTTGGAACCTCACACGCTCCCTCACATTCGAGAAGTATGGCAGCAGTCGCTGGCATGGTGTAAGGAGGAGCCGCTGCGGAGGACCTTCGTCCCGCTGGGGGACTTCAACATTGCTGCCGGCGCCCCTGTGAGCTACCAGAATCCTGAGCCCTGCAATGCCCGTCTAGCTGTCGATACGCATATGGCTCCTCTGAAAGGTTTCTGGAGACCGCTCATGCATGCAGCCACGGAGGTATGCGCAGATCTTCCGACTAGATTTAACCGCCAGCATTTCACAGCGAACGCCCTTGATCGTGTCTTCTTGGGGATTCCCTCGGAATACATGCTTGAGATTGACACGGTGATGGAAGTTCATGCTGACCCAAGCCAAATGTCCGACGCTCGTTTGAGCGATCACGCGTTGGTTTCGCTTTCATTTCAGAATCGTGGCACGGGTCAGCATAATGAGCTACGTATCCCTGACTTTATTTTCCAAGATCCGCGCTATCGCGCGAAATTTGCCGCCCTGGTCTCTGCTGTAGACATATCACATGTGCCAGCGGATGTGCGCTGGCGATATATGAAGCAATACATGTGGGAAGCCGCCCGTGAGACCCGTAATGAGCTCCAAGGCCTCCCGCTGGTCTCACAGGACCCCAATGCCTTGGAGGCCCGTCTGGTCACATTGAGAGCCATCGCCAGGGCCATTTGGAGGCAGGATCTTCGGGTCGGGGCTACCCTGCAGGCCACCACGCCTCTTGGAGCTCGTTTCCTCTCCCTCTCGGCCACCACTCTCACTCTTCTTGAGCCTCATAACTTTAGTGCCCTTTTTCGCGACACCAGCGCTGCCGCGCTCGCACGCCGCCAATCCCGAGCTGCAGCCTTAGCGCAGCAAGCTGCCGCGTCAGGTGATCGTCTCTCGGCTGACGCTGCGCGTCGACTCCAGCGTTCGCTACAGCGTAAGGCCCGACTCTGGCGCCCGAAAGGCAGCTCGCTTGTCCTGCAGGGCGTGCGTCCAGAGACGCTTGCACCAGCTTCGCCGCCCACCGACGCTTCACCAGTGGCGCGTTCTGCAGAAGATATCCGTGCTGCGCTCTCCAGCCACTGGGGGGATGTGTTTAAGGCCAAGGTAGTGGACCCTGTCAAGCTCCGCGCTTACGTGGACCGCCTCGGTTGCCCCATGGCTGGCCCCGGCCTCGATGGTCTCCCCGTGCCGTCGCGTGCGGGCCTCGAGAAGGCCTTGCATCGCGCTCGTATCTCTGCCCCAGGGCCTGATGGGTTCACTTACCGCGCGTGGGCTGCGATCCCCGAGCAGCTGGATGTCTTGCATGACCTTGCCCTTCACCTTTTTTCGTGGAGATTATGTGCCACACGATCTAAATGATTCTGTTTTCGCCTTCTTGCCGAAGGGGTCGTTGCCAGAAGATCACTTCGACTGTGTTAGGCAAGCCAGCAAGGTGCGCCCTCTGTCGCTGCGCAACACTGATACCAAAATCATCGCCAGTGCCTCGAACTCTGTGCTGCGCCAAGCGGTTGCCAAAAAAGTGCACCCTAATCAGAGAGGCTTTGTGATTGGAAGGAATTTCGCTCGCAACATCATCTTTATGGACGCCTCCGCTAGAGCTTTCAGCGTGTCAGAGAATGCTGCACAGCTATGGCCATGCTTTGTGTCTTTTGATATTGCTGCTGCGTTCCCCTCCGTGGGGCACCAGTGGTTGTTCGAGATTCTCCACCGTCACGGAGTCCCCCAAGGGTATCTCAACCTTCTCCACTCGCTCTACTTCTGCCCTAGGGGCTTCGGACGGTTCGGAGGTGAACTGCACTTTCTCTTCCATCTCTGCAGTGGCGTCCTTCAGGGATGCCCTCTCTCGGGGTCTGTCTGGGCGCTCATTTTCGACCCCGTGATTCGTTTGCTCTCCCAGGCTGTCGAACAGCCCGCAGAGCAGAGCCAGATCCCAGGCCAGGTAGGTGGTTGTGCTGATGATGTAGGCACAGTGCTCCCACAATTGTGCACTTTGAAAGCCATGATGCCTCACTTTAATGATGTTGCTGAGCACGCGTTCTTGCGTCTCCAGCCTGCCAAATGCTGCATCGTGCCGTTGTGGGCCCCGTGCACTCATGAGCTCGCACATAGCATCCGAAGTTGGCTCGTCCGTGAATTGCCTGAGTGCCAGGAGTTCGATATCCAGGGATCGACGGCGCACCTGGGGGTTCAGTTTGGGCCGGAGGGGGATCTCGGACTCCAGTGGCATCAAGCAGCACAGAAATGGTGGCACCGCACTATTGAGCTGCCATCCTCTCGTGCTGCTGCTGCGCTTTCGATCTTCCAATACAACATGTATGCGGTCAGCACTCTCGGCTATCTCGCTCAATTCTTTCCCATGTCTCCCAGTGCCATCGCTCGCGAGGGTCTTGCCCTGCATAAGTTGCTCCGTCTCCCTCCTAACTCCTTCTCCCTCGCCGACTTGCTTTCCGCCTCGTGGATTGGGTCGTCGCCCCGATCGCTCATCGCCCTGGGCATAGCTTCTGCCTGGAGAATGGCGTCTTTCACGGTCTCGGACTGGCGGGACGCCTTCGAGGCGCTCCAGCAGGCCGCCGATGCCGCCTGCGGCACCCCAGCTCTCTCTGCCCAGCGATGGGCGTCGGGAGCATGGTGCGCCCCGTGCTGGAGGCGGGCGGAATCCATCGTCCAGTTCTTTCACTCCCTCCTCACCTCTTCCCCGTCTGTCGTCGTCAGGCGTCGTGACTCCTCGCTTCGCTCCGCTCACCCCCTTTCTCTGAGAGCTTGGGAGACGGCTAAAGCGGAGGGACGAGCTGAGACGAGAGCGGCTGAAGCTAACCAGCGCAAGCCGAAAATCCAGCGTGTTGTCGGTTCGGCTGTGTCGTGCGCCTTGTACCCCGAGCGGTTTCATCTAACGCTCAGGCGCCGTCTGAGAGCCTTGGATATCCCACCCCCGCCCGATCTCGAAGCTCGTTGGTCCTTGCTGCGTGCCGAGCTTGCCTCAGTCCGCCCCTCGTGGAGATGGGCTGTGTGGAAATCCTTGGCTGGAGGATGGACCACCTCGTGTCGGATGCGCGTCTCGCGTCACTCTCGGGACTGCATTTTTGGATGCGGAGGCTCCGACAGCATCAGCCACTACTTCCGCTGCCTTCGAATGAGGCACCACGTCGCCATGAGCTGGATGCGGCTCGTCTTTCCTGTGGAGCCCCTGCTTTGGCTTGGCCTCGGGAGTCCCTCGGAGTATGGCACGGAAGACTGTGAGCTGAGTCGAGCCCAGACGCTAGAGGCAACGGCCTCAGCGTTTCATATCTACCACAAAGCCAAAGATACCGTGCCTCCTGGGGCACACCTCACCTATACAGAAGCCGAGCGGATTGCTGGTGCTGCGCGTTTGGCGCTTCGCGTCTAGTGCGGTCATCGGGAGTCCGCCTTCAGGGTACGTCCACTCCTCCTCCTCCTCCTCCTCCTCCTCCTCCGCCTCGCCTCGTCCTCCTCGTCCTCATCCTCCTCCTCCTGCTCCTCCCCCTCCTTTCCTTCTCCTCCTCCTCCTCCCCCGACACTTCCTGCTCCTCCTGCTTCTCCTCGTCCTGTCCTTCTCCTCCTTTTTCCTCCGCCTCCTCCTCCTCCTCCTCCTCCTCCTCCTCCTCCTCCGTGGTAATACGAATTACGGGGGCGTCGCCCCCGAGGGGGCGACGCGCGCGCCGGGCTGTCTTGTAGTGTATGTGTTCCGTGGTGGGCGCCGTCTGGCCGTGGCGCTCGGGAGGCAGCACGCTGCAAGAGGCTTGGCATCGCTCGGACGTGTGCATTTTTCTTTCGGCGAGGACAATCGAGGAGCATCCTTGATCATTTGGCGAAAACCACGCGCGAAACCGAAAAGAAACACATGGAACAGACGTCCGAGCGATGGCGAGGAGGGGTGTAGTGACCAGGTGCTGGCGAGAATCGACTCCCCTGGTGATGATAAATAAAGTTCGGGATCCATGCGGGCTGGTGAGAGTGAGGGGGCCGAGCGGTCCATTCACTGTCCCAGGAGTGCGTGGCTGAAGTGGGGATCTGTGGTGAGGATTCTGCTCGTTGCGTTGTTGTTGTTGTTGTTGTTGTTGTTGGTGGTGGTGGTGGTGGTGGTGGTGGTGTTGGTATTGGTGTTGGTGTTGGTGTTGTTGTGGTTGTGGTTATGGTTGTGGTTCTGATTGTTGTTGTTGTTGTTGTTGTTGTTGTCGTTGTTGTTGTTGTTGTTGTTGTGGTTGTTGTTGTTGTTGTAAGTGTTGTTGTTATTGTTGTTGTTGGTGGTGGTGGTTGTGGTGGTGGTGGTGTTGTTGGTGTTGTTGGTGTTGATGTTGTTGTTGCTGTTGCTGTTGCTGTTGTTGTTGCTGTTGCTGTTGCTGTTGCTGTTGCTGTTGTTGTTTGTGTGTGTGTGTTTGTTTGTTTGGTTGTTTGTTCGTTTGTTTGTTTGTTTGTTTGTTGTCGTCGTCCCACCTGCGACCCACCCGCGACCCTTCCCGCGACCCTTTTCTTGACCCACCCCGCGACCCACCCCGCGACCCACCCTCGACCCAC